ATAAATTGGAAATTTTGAAGTAGACAATATGTTTTCTCAATTAACTACAGTGATTATTCCCACAAAATATTCATTTCAAAGTTTTTATCACAATGCAATTAGAAACAATTGGTTCAAACTCACTTGTAACATTTGTCCACGGTATTCACAAAGATTATAGTTTTTCCTCGAACTAACTGTAACTTCAGCATTGTGCACAATAAAGCTGCTTTATCTTGCTCTTCTGCTGTAAGGGCATAGTGTGCTAGTTGTTCTGGTGGGGCTAGCTGAGCTTCATTCAGCTTCAATGTTACTGGGTTGTGCAATACTAAGCGTTTTAAGTTCAGTACATCCTCTGACAAAGTGGCACTTGCCAATGCTGCTTGATACACAGATGGTAAATACCTGTAAATCAAAAAAATAAATTACAATTAGTTTAAATACAATAACTCTTCACACATTAGGAATTACATTGGCTCAAGTTTCAATTGATAAATTCGATGGACCACTAAAAACAAACTAGGGTTACATGAGAAATCTTGGGAGTCCTTTTAACAATCTACTTAATAAATTCTACTGGGTACCAAGGTGGTATGGTTGTTGATGTATGCACTTACCTCTATGAAATGTATTTTAAAATTAGGAAAACATTTTTTACAATAATGTTTCTTTTATCAGGAAGATACACAATCAACAGTTACTATTCCTTTCATTCTTTTGGTCCTTATATGTTTACAGCTCAAAATTGCTAGAGGATGTTGTGCCTGTCTAATGCAAGTTAATCTACGAAATGTGTTTGGACTCTGATAGTGGATCGCCTAGTGACTTCTCAAAAGAGCCAAGCATCTTGTGGTAAAAACATTCTTTCACATAGAAATGGCTACTTTTGCATGTTTCCTACATTAGCACACAAAATAAAATATTTAACAAAAATTATAGTTACTGTATATACAGAAATTCAATGAAGTCCATACTTTCTGACAACAGAATTACGGTATGTAATTTTTACTCTCAAGAGAAAATATAATGTTACTGATAAAACTTAATCAAGGTAAGCCCATTTGACGATATCATTCATGTCTTAGTATAAATTGTATAGTTACCTAACTATCTCTCTTATTTCATTTTCAAAGCCAAATGAGAAAATGAGGTCTGCTTCATCAATTACAAGAATTTCAAGAGACTCCTTCAGCTTGAGATTTTTAGCTTTCAGATGTTCAAGTGCCCGAGATGGTGTAGCCACCACAATATCTGGACAAAATACCAACAGTGGACGCTGTGCATCCACATTCACCTGCAAAAGTAATTAACTCCTTATTGCCTGAAAATACAATTTATGCTTGATAAAAGCCAACCACAATACTTCACCCCACCATATAGTTTAACATCATTGGACAAAAATGTTCAGTTACTGAAAGTTAGGAACATAACATTACAGCATTAATACTAAGGTGAGAAATGTGCTTTATCTTCTTTTCAGAGAAAACAGTGGCAACAAAAAAATAGAGCCAGGCAGCAAAATTTACGCTTGGAGCCCAAAATAACAATCCAATTCCCTCTTTTTTTGTGTAAATGACATTTCATATTGTATAAGAAGTATCTCAACAAATTACAATTATTCCATTATAATTAAACATTGATTTCAACCTCAAAAGTTTGAGAACGGATAAAAATAGCACTTATAATAATAATAATAATA